TGACCTACGGTTCAACACTCCGCATACCATCAGATTTCTTCGTGCCTACTCAGCCGAACATCGATGACGCCGAATTCGTCCGCCAGCTGACCGAAACGATGTCTACATTATCGCCGAACAGCAAGCCACACTCAAACTCCACAAGGTCATTTGTACACAAAGACCTTGCTACGTGTACACATGTTTTCGTGCGCAATGACACCGTGCGCAGCCCTCTAGTACCTCCCTACGACGGCCCCTACAAAGTACTTCGGCGCGACAGCAAACATTTCACCATACAAATGTATCCACGTACTGCAGTTGTTTCAATAGACAGACTCAAACCAGCATACTTACTCAACGAAGACGACACTGTATCAACATCAGTTACGCGCCAACAACAAGACGAGATACCTACAACGACTTCGCGCCAACAGCAAGCCTACGTACCTACTGCATCTGCGCGCGAACAAACATCGAACTATCTACCTACAACTACGAGTAACGACGCACGGACAATGTCCTTCACCCCACCCCGCGACGCCTACGTCACCCGCACCGGCCGTACAGTGAAACCAAACGTACGCTTCGCTTAGGGGGGAGTGATATAGCGGCATACATACATACCTACCTACATCTATGGCATAACCACCACACCTCATACCTATTACCAGATAACCTTTACCGTACCTCCTTCAAGAACCAGATTACCTTTACCTCCGTAACCAACAAACCAATACCAACGCTTTTGACTTTCTGTGATCAGAAACAGTGAAACAGGCCGCCTTGAAAAAGGCGTTGCAAACGTTTTAGACTTTGACAGAAACTCGTCTTGAAAAAGACGCTTGTAACGTTTTTGACTTCTGCTAACAGAAACTCGTCTTGAAAAAGACGTTTTAAAACGTTTTCGACTTCTGCTCAGAAACGAGATATAGTGAGCAAGCAAATAAGCAGGCAAGCAAGCAGAAGCGAAGCTCGAAGAACACGAAGACACGAAGTTGCGGTCCACGGCACGGACACGTCTGTCGTCGTCGGCGGCACCGGAGCGAAAGGACGCGTCTCGCGGCACGCGCCCTATTATAGCCTCGCGCTGTGCTCGCGACATCACGACGAACGGCGACCGCGACGGCGCATGCGCGCAGCCGCTCTGTCGAGCCTTGCGACGAACGCGCGCTGCTATTAGTAGATGACATATACCTATGTGTGATAGCGTGTAAGATAGCCATAAGACATGTAAATATTAGTAGAGACATTGTGCCGAATAAATCATTCCAAACCACGACAGCCTCGAGTTAATAACAAGAAGAAGAAACCCTGCTCTCACTCCTAAACATTAGAAACCGAAATAAATTACAAAGAAAATTGCGTTTAATTACAAAGAACTTTGCGACCCACATAATACAATTTAAAATCACATACTGTTGATATTATATTTATATTCTTTTGCATCAGTCTTATAGAAAAACTTAAAAGAAAATATGAACGAGACTGTCACAAATACAAAGTTACTCTGGAAAAACATAAAATCAATAATCTATACAAATCAGCCTTAAACTCAAAACATCGAGTTATTAAATACTAGGCAGTCTTCAAGTGAATCTGTTAACTCTATGAACGATTAGGTACTTCGCGAATATTGGAATTGGAAAACATCTAGCAGGACAAATTCAACTTAATAATAGTTAAGACCCTTCTAGTCAACACTGCACATACACAAAATAATTCTTTTGTCCTCTTAGATACGACCTACGAGGAAGTTGAAAAAACTGGACGGGATAGCATCTCAACCAGTTTCTTAAAATATTGTGACGTAGTAGCCGTTCCCATCATTACCCGCCTTGCTAACGATTGTTTATCACACCGTTACACACAAGTGAGGGCAGAGACCATGTGAACAACAATAGACGTAAATCGGTGCTGCCAGTCTTATCTAAGATCATAGAAAAGTTAACATAAACGAGACTCGTAAACTATCTTAATAAATTCAAAATAATATCACCTTAACAATTTGGTTTTCGGCAAGGAGTATCTACTGAGGACACGTTCGTCGCAAACGCTCGTCAGTAACTTAACATCTTGATGCTTGCAGAAAGTGCCTAACAATATTTCTTGATCTTAAAAGGGCTTTTGAAACCGTTTCTGTCCTCATCCTTGTCGCAAGCTGGAAAAAAATGGAATAAGAGGAACCCCACTTAGTTTTTTAAAGATTATACTTGTCAAATAGAAAACAGGGAGTTAAGATTGGAAAGTATATTAGTGAAGATGCTGATATATCATCAGGTGTACCACAAGGAAGATTTCTAGAGCCAACATTATTTGTCACACACACACAATAATTAAGGACTAAACCCTGCTTGGCGCACTCATTTAATTGGTATTGCTCACTCGATCCCATTTATTTTGTTAAGGCATAGGTAGTGAATTTGCTATCTTCTTCGAGTATTATAAAGTTAGTAGAAATCAGGTTTTGTTTCTCTGCCAAACCACCTACGAAAAATAGACCGTAACAACTGAATATACGCTCGTCGGACGCCATGTTTTTTATTTGACCCATTGTCGCCATCTCCTGGTTGGTTTGGAAAAAGGAGTTCTTCGGATAGAATCTCCCTTCTCCATAAAGTCGAAGTCTCCACAAGGTTTGAAAAGGGTCCCGCCTGTGGTGGTCTATTAGCTCTTTAAGGCGTGCACGGAATGCTACGCGCCTTACAGTCGGATCTGGTTCTGGTCGGGTGGTAAGCTACCCTTACTTATTGTCTGCAGACCGTGCTTACGGTGGCCGGAGACATCTCTCGATCCCTCAGTGCCCGGAGTGTCGCCTACTGCGGTGACTGGGGCGTGAGGAGGAGGATAGCTCCCTCTCACGCACTCCGCCTTCTTCTTTGCGAGCATAACTGCTTCACAGAAAGAGGAAACGGCTTCCCAGTTCCTGTCGCTTCGCACGATGGCCTCGACTAAGGCCAGGCGTGACAGGTCGGTGCCGCCGATCACTTCTCTGAGCATACGGCGGTGCTCAGCCCAAGTAAGGCACACCGCCACCCCATCAAAAAGGCGAAGTGTGCTTTAGAGAATATTGCTTGAGATATTTCCTCTTACAAAGCCTCTACCTCATCGTGGTAATGTGTCGAGGTCAGCGCGTATACCTGTATGACCTTCATTCCCAGAATGTCGAAAACAGATTTGATATTCTGAACTCTGCTCACGCTGTTGATGAGTGACTTGTGTACGAGAAATCCAACACCAGCCTAGGATTTTCGTTCTCCTTCCCGGAAAAAGAGCATGCTGCCTGAATCCAGGACTATCGTATCCTGCCCTCTTTTCGGATTTCGAATAGTTCCAACACATTATTTTTTTTAATCATACATAGGGATTTAAGAACAGAAAAAGCTTTATTGTTTTATATTATTCGTGCATATTGGTGCATCGGCGTCGCGCTGAGGTGCACTCACCACACAGAACAACCAGCGGCCACTCGGGACATTTTGGTGACACTGGACATGACGTCTTCAAGCCATCTTAACTTATCGTTTACGCCGGCAGGCTATCCGGTTGTATCAACCAGGTCTGCACAAATATTTACAAACCAATCGAGTTGCCTCAACGCAAAAAATGGGCCGCACGGGGAGACGTCGAACAGGATAGCAGCCTGTGGGGAAATGCATATAAGCCAACTCTGTGACTGGGCTGACTGCAGCGTAAGCAGCGGTCGCTGAGGTGCATTTCGGTCATAGTTGTCCACATGACAGTGGAAGCACACACCTCTCTTCCAATTTGCCAAGTTTGTTAGTAGACGTACCAAACACTCAGTATCTAGAGAGAATCTAAATTTCAACAAGGTATTTGTCCCGCTTACTTTACTCGGGCTTTAAAAGATTATTTGAACAAGGAATATCCTAACAGTGGATCGGACGCTGTGGGTCAATTTAATGGGCTCCTCATTTCCTCAAAAAGCCCGTTAATAATATTTATTACTGAAGATGCATCAAAGAAAAATCTCACAAAATTTCGCCAAAAATGTTGATACAGCGTCAGAAGATATAAATAGCAGAAGAAATAAAACGTTTGTCCGATGGTTTTTTTAACCTTTATGTTTTTTACAATAAACCTGGTTACTATCTGACACAATTCAGTGTGGGCTTCGGATCTGAGGCGGCGGCCAGCCCGTGCGCTGGTCGCGTCCCAGAGGGTCATAGGAATCGGTAATTTTGCAGAATTGGCAACGCACTCCTTACTCCTCTTATGTTGCGGGGTGTCCATGGACGGCGCCAATTACTACCATCAGATAATTGGTCCGCTCGTTTGCCTACATATCCCATAAAAACCTGCCAAGAGCGTATTAGGCTACGCTCAGGGCAGAGTTCCGTAGTTTCTCATCTGTCAAAATAAGTATCCCTTCGTACATGTTATTGTACACCTTAACAACAACTTTAATTCAGCGACAAGTAGAAAAAGTAACGCGCCTTCTGTTTCTAGTTAAATAGTTTATACAAACAAGAAGGGTCCTGTATGTTACGTTTTTGGCGGTTTATTTTGGATTGCGTAAGCCGATTGTTATAAAATTTTATATTTGAAAGAAGACCTTCAAATCATAGATATAACAAAATGGTTTTTTATGTTTTTTATATTTCTGTGCTTCAAATCAACAAAATATCCAAAGTCAAAAAAACTGCTTGCATATACCTATGTTTAAATTACAAAACTAGTTCAGATTTTTTGTACAATATTTACATAACTATGCAATACCTATACATCTGAAAATGCGACAAAGTAAATAGAATATCATTTTTTGAAAATTGTTCTCTATCCCAGAACTGATATGGATGTGTTTTTAATTTCATAAGAACTGGTATAACTTAGTTATGCAACCGGTTCCAGATCATCGTTGAGTTTTAGGACACCTGTAGGTATACAAGACACGAGTATTGAGATAAATTCAAAACTTCATAACTGTTTCCAATAATATATTAGTTGCAATTAGTACGTAAAGCTCTTCTAATAGTTGCGAGTCTGGTGACGTCGATCATTTACTTTGTCTGGCGCAGCACTGCGTAGAAAGTGTATGATGACTTTATTATCTGAAAAATGAAAACCAAATCATGTCCTAATGTAAAAGTATTTATCAATGCTGTGATAAGTACCTAATATTGAAATTACCTTGACAAAGGTGTCAAGCGAGAGCGGGATGACCCTCCCGGCGGCGGGGCGCAGCGGTCGCTTGGCGCGCTCCATCACCAGCACCAGCGAGCGGCGGAACGCCAGCCCCGCGCGCCCCCACTCCATGCTGTACAGCGACTCCGACACGCGCTCGCTCTGCAACACTCACGCTGACCTCAACATCGCAAACGAATCAATTAGATCGCGGCGTAGTTTTCATCACCCCAAAAACAAATAAGGAATCTTGAATTAAAAAAAAATACAACCTGGCACATGCTTCCCAGTTTCTGAAGTCAGTCTGCGAGGTTATCGCTTAGTAAAAATTAACTTGTTTGGTGTATGAACACGAAAACCTACACAGGTATGATCACGACGTTATGATACAGTTCTTCGTATTACACCAACCAATCAAATGTGTTTGTTGTTAGTCGCAATCACAAATGGTAAATATTTGTTGTACCGGGTCACACCCCTGCATATTCATATTTTATAAGGAGTACAGCTATATTATAAACAGCGTATGCCTTCAGCTTTCAACCTGGAGAATGTTTGCTCAAATCATCGCAAGTATCAATTTCGAAAACTATACATATAAACAGGTGTCCGGTAAGTAATGGATAACCTTGAAATGCCTTTAGGTACCTTTATCATATGGCTATTCAGAAAAAACACGAAACAAAAATCATAACTTCAAGTAATTGCCAGATTTTTGAGGTTGCTAGGTTGAGGTTACGCAATTGTACTGTTCAATGCTCATTGGGCTCTTTATTATTAATAAATGTCTGAACGTTACCTCGTCCGTGACCTCGTTGCCATAGTAGCAGTATAGGAACAGCTCCGTCAGGATGCAGCTGATAAACAGAGTCATCGACGCGAACTCCACGCTCAGCACGTTTAGCTAAACAAAGTAGATGTCAATGCCAGCAGCGGCCAGAGACCATGCATGGCCGGCAGCCGCGTGACAACCGCACTCACCGTGACGAGCTTGTAGGCAGCCATGCAGAGGATCCAGCCGCCGATGCCGAACTGGATCAATATAGCTGTGCCGAAAATGTCTTGCAGCATCTTTGCAGTTCTATAACAAAAACAAATTAATAGTCAGAACTGAGTTGAACGCGTTACAAGGGTGTAGTCACTCGATACATGTGTTGAACAGTACTCCGTAATCTTCTCATAGTGCAACAAACACTCTTTGAAGAGCTCCATAAGAAGTGCATCGTAACTCGGGCCGGGAGTAGTCTTCAGCACTTCCAGCGCTTGTAGAGGTAGGCGTTCAAAGTTTATCCTGCAACATACCATTGTAAAACTTCAAGCTGTTGTTTACCGCAAAGAGATTATGAAAAAATAGGATGCAATCCATAAGGATATGTCACTGTGTGAAGATACCGCAATATTCGCAGCTGGGTCTTGCACTGGTTGAGCACGGTGGCCATGAACGCATCCATGGTCGTGTTCGCGATGCCGACTAGCGTAGTCACGTAATACGAGTACGCCAGCACGAAGACGAACCTGAAACCAATGGCACGGGTAGTATTTGTTTCTTCCTTAATCTGAATGGCTAGGTTCCATGTAGGTATGTATAGCACACATCTTTGATTTATTGTAGTCAACGTCGATCCAAAAAGGGAACTCGACAAGCTGTCCCTGCAGGTGGTACATGACGGGGAATGTGATCCACAGCGTGCACGTGACGACCGCGCAGCCCGCGTATGCGCGCACGAACCGCGCCGCGCGCGCCGCCGTCACGCGCAGTAGCCGCTGGTGCTCCGCCGCGCTCTGGTTGTACAACGGGTCTGCAACAATACACCGGACTCATTCGCGACCAGTCATCTGACTTTGTCTACGACATGTTTAATCTGGAGCACCCACCATTCAGCCCTTCGAGCATTTCATCTATCCTGTCGGCTTTCAGGTGGAAAACCAACTGCTTCGCTATGGATGTGATGTGGCACAGCAACAAGAACATGACGCGAGCCAACTTGTCCATGTCCAACCGCACCTGGTGGCAACAGATGGAGTGGATACAGTAAAACTTGGTACATTAGAGATACACAAACCCCCGTTTCTTCTCTTGCCCCAAGACGAGGCCGCGGTACCTTATTGCGCCTCGACCCTGGCTTGGATTGACCATGTTGGGCCCCATCGTCTATCGCTATCTAGCTCCATCTGTAGTGGTCTATTTGCTCTTTGAGGTTCTGGTCGGGTGGCGAGCTACACTTGCTTGCCAACCGCTTACGGTATCCGGAGATCTTCGTTTGATCCCCGACGCCCAGAGTTTTGCCGAAGGCGGCGGCTGGGGTGTAAGGAGCCTGGGTTACCTCCTTCTTTGCGAGCACCACTGCTTCGCAATAAGAGGAGATCGACGTCGATTTCGACTAAGGACACAGCGGAGGCTAGCCCATCCAGGGTACACTACCATCGTTTGCTCCAATGAGTCCTCCGGACGGACCTCACAATGACGACACCTAGGCGTTTCTTCTCGCCGGATCCGAAACAGGAACCTACCAAATGTACCGTGTCCTGTACTGTGTCAGCCGGAAGGTGAGGACGCCATGGCGTCTCTCAAGCCTCTCCTCAAAGAGGGGCCTTACCGCTGCTATAACAGCGTCCTCGGCAGAAACGGACTTATGCTGATGCTAACAATGTTTGTCTTGAATATTTTGCGTTAAGTATAAAACTAAAAAAATATAATAACTTTAAGTCAAAATCGCACCGTTTATAAGTATTATGAATTGTAGTCTGCATTAAGTACCTACATCCTCACAATCTGTCGTATCTACTTAGAAATATTTTAAGATTTTCTTTCACGAAATCTCGAAAGCCACCTTCTAATTGACATTTTGGAGAACCTGATAGGCGTAGATGCATTCCTGCAGCAGATAGAGCGTGGTGAGTGCGAGCGTGAAGCCGCGATAGAGCGCGTGCAGCGTGGCGGGCAGCGAGCCGAGGCGGGCGGCGCGCCCGGCCAGCCGGCAGTACCCGCAGCGCCGCAGGATGCGCAGGTGTGTCGCCACGCTGCGCGACGACAGAGACCTGCGCACACGACCTCTGAACAAATATCAAGCGAATTATGTTGTCTTTGTCAATTTCATGCAAGCAACGGAAAGTTGTTACGCCTAAACTTTTCTAAGAGAAATAGTTCACTAGCGATATGGTGGCGGGTACAACCGCAACAATGTGCAGCGGCCCGGCCTAGAACAGGAGATGGAACGGGGTAATTTTTAGGCTGACCCTCACTCTCGTCCAGTTCATTTGATTATTGTCCCTAAACAAGCATGATTAACCGAAACCAAAATTTAGATTGGAATACTAACATCATAGAAGTCGTACAGAGACGGAGTGGCACTGATAGCTATCACAAATCTGGCAACGTTTGATTCAATAATGAGGTAATTATAAGCGGACCATGTCATTATAATGTCGGCCACGTTAACAGATTAATTACAGAGCAGGGCCGGCGCCGCCCCTCGCGTGCCACGGCCGCGCCCCGCCCCCGCACTGATTCACTGCTCGCCTGGTTCCACGTACTCACTTGCATCTACTAACTTAACATGACAATATCGTATTTTGTACCTGTACTGTCAGGCTAAGTCATACATGTCATGTCATGTTTTTATAAGATCAATCAAGGCACAGTTCACAGCCGTACATTTCTTAAAAAGTAGCCTCAGTCGAGGGATCTCCTTGACTATTTGAAGTAATTGCCTTGTGTTTGTGCTGGAACAATTTGTCTTGGTGAGTACTTTGCATCAAGACTGGTAGTGACTGTCATTAGGGGTTTGATGATGAGAACGAAGGACAGCTCAAGGAACTCCTGAACGGTTTACAGTAACTATCACGTGTTTGGACTAAATTAATTTATATTGATGAAAACTTACGCACCTATATGGGTTACAATGAAGTTATGCAGTAAATCTGATGATGGAGCCGAGAAACAGTCGTGAGATCTCTTTGAGTATTGGAGTAATTATTTATTTATTTATTATAAGCTTCATGCACAAGTTATTGTACACAAGGTGGACTTAATGCTTTGAGAATTCTCTACCAGTCTGACCTTTGGGTGATACAAAGAAGAATACCAATGGCGGATGCAAGAAGCAAGCATGAAATTATGAAATTCTAAAAGGCTGAAGAATTATACCCACTATAATAAATCCACACAAACAATAAAAATAATAAAATAAAAAATAAAACAATAAAATATACGAAGTAAATACATATACATATGTATACTTACATATGAACGCACATATAACGTTACATAAATACATACAATCACACACACTATGCATATCATGTTATGATCCTGATGACTCAGCCACTCTCTTTAACAGGAGCTCTCGAATTTTCCGCTTGAACGACAAACCATGGGTGACATCCTGATATTGGGAGGGAGCGCATTCCACAGAAGAATATACTGGACAAAGAAAGAAGAATGAACAAAATTAGTGCGATGAGTAGGGCAATTCAGGAGACGATTGGTAGATGAACGAAGATATTTATTGTGATTTGCGCATGTGTATTGAATGTACGAAGATAGGTAACTCGGCAAAGAAGGAGTATCAAGAAAAGAAAAAAGAGTGGTTAGCGCCCTTTGCTCCCTGCGCTGGCGTATGGGCACAGTATAAATATCATATATTATTACCTTGGTATGGGCAACCACTTCAATTGCAGCCGATGTGCAGAAACGTGATCATATTTACGCAGGTTGAATACGAAATGAATGCAGTTATTTAAAAGACGGTCAAGTTTGTTGAGGAGATCTGCATTTAGGTCATAGTAACAGACATCAGCATAATCTACTATAGGGAACAACAAGGCCTGCACCAACATTAACTTGGTGATGGATGAAGCAAGTTTTTTAGCAGATAAAGAGCCCGAAGCGATCCGGTCGCCTTTTTACACACACTATAGGACTTGTGCTTGCCAATTCAGGTTGTTGTCCATGAGCAACCCCAGATCCTTTACTTAATCACTGAATGGAATGACCGCACCGTCGCACAGAACAGCTGGTAAGGATGAGTTGTCAGCTTTATTTAGAGAGCGAGAGCTTGCTATGATAATTGCCTGACACTTGTTAGGATTTACAGCAATACCAAACCTTTCCGACCAGTTGTTGATGGCAGCTAAGTCGCCATTGATTTTTGTGATAGCATCAGGCAAGTTATCTATACTGGTTTGACAGTACAGTTGTAAGTCGTCTGCATACAGATGGTTATGTTGTTATGGTTATGTTGTGTTTGAACTTAAATAATAATTTATATTGATGAGAATGAGATGTATCTACTAAAATAGTAAAAATATAATTTTATTGATTTATTACTTCATGCACAAAACATAGTACGTAGAGCAATAGCTGCGTGCATCAATAGTCCTGCATCAACCACAGATGGTCCTTGGGTGTACTTGCATAGTTCATAAAGATATAATTGCCGGCTGATGTGCCATTTCACTAATATATTAAAGTTGTTCAAAAGGACTCTGCGAGTTGCAGCGGTCCAAGGTACGCCTTCCAAAGGACTGGAACCCTGTGGGGGCCACAGGGTTCCAATCCTTTGGAATCTTTCCATTCACATTTAGTTTTATTCTGTTTAGGGCTTGACACCAACTGCAAACCTATGAATAGGTAGCACATATAATTGATAGTGTTTTATTATTGATATTAAAAGTATTAGCTTCGCGTACGTAAGAGTGGTATTAAAATATCTATTTTAATTATTTAACAGTTTTTTGTTTTTAAAGTCGGTTTTTTTAAATGTAGTTATTTTTATATTTTCCTTTTTAGTGTCTGGTACAAGTTCTTCTGTGAACTACAGTAACATTTTCAATTTAAATTAACATATTGAATAGAATATATTTTATTAAGTAGCTATGGGTAAAAATAGGAAAGGAACCGCTCGATTAAAAAAAAATGATCCCAAGAAATAGGAAAGTTCTCATCATCATCATCATCATCATAATCATCATCATCATCATCATCATCATAACCAGCCTTTTTAATGTTCCCACTACTGGGACACAGGCCTCCTCTCTAGGAGAGGTAAAGTTCTTATCAATACAAATAAATTAAGTCCAAACACGAGGTAGCTACTGTAAACCGTTGAAGAGTTCCCTAGACTGTACTTCGTCTTATTCATCAGATTCCTAACGACAGCCACAATCTAGGTGTAAATATCTTATCAAAACGAATTAATCAAGCTCAAACTTGTGTTTGAGCTTGATTAATTACGCAGTCTTGGTTGGAAACGAACGTTTCCGACTTCATCAGAGCTGAAGACTGGCCGTCGTCTAGTCCCGATCTTAATCCGCTGGATTATTATTTATAATCAGTTTTAGAGAATAGGGCTTGCTCTAAACGTCATGATAATTTGGACTCCCTAAAACAATCCATACGATTGGCAGTGAAGAATTTTCCCACGGAAAGAGTGCGTGCTTCTATTGATAACTGGCCTAAACGTTTAAAGGACTGTATTGCAGCCAATGGAAACCACTTCGAATAAGCTTTTTATGTTTTAAATTATTTTATATTTATGTATTAAACTTACATACTGTAAAAGTAATAAATGTTATTTGCAATAGAAAAAATATTTTTTATTTGTTACAGTATTTATGGCTAGACTAGGTAATTGACTTTAACTACTGAAGGTCTGCAGTTTACCTGATGATGGAGACCATTGACAGTCTAGGGAATTCCTCAACAATTTAAAGCACTGAACTCAGACTACCTTTAGACACTTACTGTGTTTTATAACCGACTATGTGCACCGATTACTCGAAGACGCCTGGACCGATTTGCAAAATTCTTTTTTTATTTGATAGGGTATACTTGCCACCCGTTTAATCCCACCGCTAAACTCGATTGACACTATTCACAATAAATACCTAATTGAGTTTACTTGCAGAGTTATAATTGCATTACTGATCGTTTAGGAATCTTTTTTTGTGAGGGGAAGATCATCAAATTACTTCTCCCGCCCAGGGCTGGGCGGGAGGAAGTGTCTCTTACTGACTAAAAAAAAACCCCTGTTCCTTCTCCTGCTCTTGGCCGAGGTCGCGGTGCCTCGTTGCGCTTATAGGGCCCCGTCTGTGGTGGTCCATTGGCTCTTTGAGGCGCGCGCGGAACGCTACGCGCCGTACGCTCGGGTCTGGTCCTGGTCGGGAGGCGAGTTGCCCTTACTCGCCGTCCGCAAACCCGCGCTTACGGAGGCCGGAGATCATCGCTCGATCCCCGACGACCGGAATGTCGCCTTCTGCGGCGGCTGGGGCGCTCTTCTTCTTCAGCCCAAGCAGGGCACTCCGCAACCGAATGCTCCACTGTGTCCTCTAGGTATCTTTTAGGAATCTTGAATTTTGGATTCTGGTCGAACCGGCCGCACCAGGCCCTTCGACCTTTTTTTGTTTAATGTGGTTAACATCAGTGCATCACATGACGTAACTAACTGGAGGCTCAATTCTACCATTCTACGGGACAAGGGTTCTCAGTACAAAATAAAACAAAGTAACGTATAAAGAATAGTTTTTATTATTTGTACTATTTTGGTGTTAAAGTGCAATTGTGGCGCATAATATTAAAAAAAAGTTAAATTGATGAACTAATGAGAAGTAGGTAGTAGAAGCTATCAATGAAAATATGTAAATTATATGCAATCCCTTGAATACAGGTAAAGTCACAAGCAAATGCTAGTAATAGCTATATATATGTACGAGTATTCACAATGTACAAGTAAAGCGCTTTCAAATGATACCAAACACGGCACATTTATCTTAACTTTGTTTTTTTACTCTGAATGTTTTGTCCGCTAGATGACGCCACATTAAATTTTGTGATACCCCATAAATAGAACCTATAATCAGCGGACATTTAAGATGTTTCTAATGATATATCATTTGTCGAATTCTGATAACTTTGTTTAGAAGTTACGAGGCAACAGATGAACATACATACATACATAGCCAGTCAAAATCATTGATCATTTTGCTTTGCCGTGGTCGGGTAAAAATAGCAAACAAATAAATAATTGAACGCTGCAAACATTGTGTGTAGTTTCTAATTTAGTTGTTTTCTTCTCCATTACTTAGTTTGCCGTAGAACTGCATAAAAGCTATACGAGGATTTTAAAATCTGAAAAAACAACAAAGAAAACTTAGTTGTTTTAAACGAGTAGGTACATCTTTAGGTGAAAGCAGAATGTTAAGGTCTTGAAGCATCACCGTGACATATGTGTCAAGCGAGAGCGGGATGACCCTCCCGGCGGCGGGGCGCAGCGGTCGCTTGGCGCGCTCCATCACCAGCACCAGCGAGCGGCGGAACGCCAGCCCCGCGCGCCCCCACTCCATGCTGTACAGCGACTCCGACACGCGCTCGCTCTGCAACACACGCCGCATGAACCGGCCGCGGGAGGCACTCACTGCACCGTCCGCGCCCAGGCCTACCTCCACGGTTACTTCATTTCCGTAATAACAGAATATGAAGAGTTCAATCAGAATGCAGATGATGAACAACGTCGTTGATGCGAATTCGATACTGAACACGTTCAGCTGCAATCACAATCAAAGCGTGAATTTGCCAGACTTCGTGGCAAGGTAAATAATGAGACTGTAGATGGTTAAGGTCTGTTTATTACTTTAATTGCTGGTGCTTATATACTAAGAAGATGCGTGAGATTTTCAGATTTAGCTATCCTAACAAACGTGCAACAATTAACATGTGTGTCTTATCTCTATCGTATCTAAGTAATGTAGCGACGTGATCGTGCCGCTACATATACTCCCCCCTTTTAAAAATAATTAACATATAAATTGAAAAAAATTAGTATGTACCTAATTATATAATAACTTAACCTTGCTGATAAATTACATCCTATGCGTAATGTAATGTCATTGTTGCTAATTCGAAGGAAATAAAAACTGCTGCCTTTGTTGTGACGGCGGCGGCAGTCGATGAACTATCCACTGCATTTGTGCTGATTGTTTCTGCTGATTGAAAATTTTAAATTCTTGTTATTACGAAGTCGTAATAATTCTTGGTCATCATGCTGACATCTTGCTAAATCAGCATAATTAATCGGTGATGGCACATCAATTTGTTCTATCCGTGACAATGCGTCTGCTACAATATTGTCACGTCCTTCTATATGTTGAATGTTGGTACAATATTGTGAAATAAAATCCAGTTGTCGTATTCGCCGTGGCGTATCATTAGATGACGGTTTTTGGGAAAATGCGTAAGTCAAAGGTCGATGATCTGTAAAGATAGTAAATTCTCTTCCTTCGACTAACCTTTGAAAATGTTTGACTGCCATATATATTCCGAGCAACTCTCTGTCGAATGTCGAGTATTTTTGTTGAGTATCACTTAATTTCTTTGAAAAGAATCCTAATGGTTCCCAATTACGTCCTGACTTCTGCTGCAGAACTGCGCCAACACAGGTCGAACTGGCGTCCGTCATAAGTGCCAAAGGGGCGGTGCGAGAGGGGTGAACTGTTAATACTGCGTTCCTTATATTTTCCTTGGTCCTTTAGTGATAATATGATGCTTAATCTTGTGTTTTGGAGTAGTGTGGAGGGAGGCTGGTTTCGTAATATCCTCGTATTCATTTAATAGTTGAGTAATGCGTGGATTCGTCTCAATGTTAATAGTGCGGATTGTTTGCTGCGTCGATTTGATCAGGGTTGCGGGCGTTGTCAGCTCAGTTACCCTATCTATGAGTTTTCGACCAGCTATATCGACTAATAGCTTATAATGCTCTAAAAAATCTGCTCCAATAATCGGTTGTGTTACATCGGCGATGACAAAGTTCCATACAAAGTTTCTTCGTAGCCCGAAGTTTAAAGAGAGTGTTTTTTCACCATATGTCTTAATTTTTGTACCATTGGCGGCATAAAGTATACATTATTCATCTTGTGTTAGTGAATGTCTCTGTGGCTTGCTAATAACTGAAATATTTGCTCCCGTGTCAATCAAAAATCTCATACCACTTTTTCGGTCGGTAATAGTGAGGCGGTTGGACGGGTGAATAGCACAGAGTTCCGCCGTTGTCCGTGCTTCAATTAGTTTCCCTGTTTCCTTGAGTTGAGATCCTGTTTCCAATCACAAGGTTGAACACACTTTTGTGCATATTTTTTAAATCTTCCATGGTAAAAACAAAAGTGCCTTCTTTCTCTTGAACTTGACTGTGGTAGGAAATGCCGACGATTGGAATAACTTTGAGTGCTGCGTCGATAGTTTTTTTGACCTTGCTGAATTGCATTTAGTTCCAATTGCATTTCTGCTAAGTATGCATGACATTGTATCGTCGCCAGATTTGTTTCCGTTTACAGCTGACACCTCTGTACGTGTTGAATTTATTAATATCTTGTCCGCGATCTGGCTCATCTTGTTCACATCTATGTCTTCTGTGACTGCTAGAACCGAAGTCACTGATGGTGGCAGAAGCCTCACCCATAGAAGTTTGATGGTTTCGTCGCTGAGATCCATTTCAGACAATAATTTTTGGAGCTGACGTTGGTCTGATTCCTCATAGCAACTGATTAGGCGTTCTTTGATAGCCTTGTACTTTTCTATTGGCGGTGGGCAAGTAATGAGGTCACTAACCTGTATTATTTCTTCTTTTGGCAGTTTTGCAATGACCGTATAGTACTTGTAATCGTCTCCTTGCTTCTGTGGTGCTACTATGGCTTCTAGTTGCTTAAACCATAATCTGGGTTGGTCCCTCCAAAATTCCGGTTCCGGCTGATATCTCCAAGGCTTCTTGTTGGCTGCTGCTTGATTTGCAGGGTGAATGAGTCATGTTGATTGTTCTTCGTCGGGTCACCAATTTGCCAGACTTCGTGGCAAGGTAAATAATGAGACTGTAGATGGTTAAGGTCTGTTTATTACTTTAATTGCTGGTGCTTATATACTAAGAAGATGCGTGAGATTTTCAGATTTAGCTATCCTAACAAACGTGCAACAATTAACATGTGTGTCTTATCTCTATCGTATCTAAGTAATGTAGCGACGTGATCGTGCCGCTACAGTGAACACTTGCGTGCCGGTCGCGGTCGTCTCCGATGCCGTCAGATACCCACGCTGACTATCTTGTAGGCGGCCATGCACAGGATCCAGCCGCCCACTCCAAACTGTATGAGCAGCGGAATGGCGAACACGTCGTGCAGGACTGTGCACGTGCTGGAGACATCAATCAAATATTATTACTCCAGACATATCGCTAAACAAATGGTTTTGACTAGCTTTCGGCGTGTGTCTGCACGCGCGTAGTAACCGCTATCGATTATAATATATCAAAACCTTCCTCAATTTTACTTTATTATATGTATGTAATAGTGAACTCTGCACAAAACCGTATCTATATAGTATTTTTTGATTTATCACCTTTATACGGGTAGACAGCTAATGATGTTTCAATTCAGAAATACGTTTGAGAATATACAAAGGTAATTGAGGGGAACTATTGGCATTTTCACTACAGACCTGTCTCATTTGTAAGTCATGCGTACAAGCTGTTCTCGAGAGTCATCACGAACCGTCTGGCACGCAAGCTCGATGACTTCCAGCCTCCCGAACAAGCCGGGTTCCGGAAAGGCTTCAGCACCATAGTCCACATACATACGCTTCGCCAGTTTATACAAAATACAGAGGAGTATTGGCTATGTGCAAAGCGAGTAGTGGCGGACAGATAACGACCGCAGCGCACAACACGGCAGAAATTGGAAACAAATGCGGACGTTCAGCTATCGGTTTTTATTATTATAAATTCATTTTGCAGTAAAACTATTGAATAAATTGCACTTCAATAATGTCACCAATAATATTTTAATCTTTGGTTTTATTTAAAAATATATACGTATATAAATATATAATTGCATTTCATTACATTAAATATAAACACTATATTTACGCGGGTATTAACGCGGAAAATTATGACACAGTGCGATAAGGACCCATCTGATCTCGCGGTTATCTATCCATCTTGGACATTAAAATAACCGCGAGATCAGATGGGTCCTTATCGCACTGTGTATACCGAAAGCCAACTCACACACTGATCGGTACCTACATGCAAAGTCACATCACCACCCCCGACACTTACAATCCGTGATGATATCACTAAAAAACAGAGCATATGACCTCTGTGACCCTGAACATCTGGGGCAAGAGCTAGACTATGTTCAGGAGGTACTTAAAAAGAACGGATATAGTGTAGGGGATGGGCGACTATTGCGACCGCTGAAGAGAGCCAGACATCCAAACGTGAGCAGACAACCTGCCAGGGTGTGACAGACAAGATAGGATCCGTCCTTAAAAAGTTTTCGATCCCGACGATCTACACACCTGAGGCTAAACTTCATGATAAGGTAGGCACGGCGAAGGATGTACTGCCGCTACAAAGCCCAGGTGTTTATAAGATCAACTGCAGCTGCGGTAGTTCCTACATTGGGCAAACGAAGCGGACCATTGCTGAGAGGCTCAAAGAACATATCGCCGCAGTCAAAAACCGACAGAGCAACAAATCAGCGATAGCAGAACACCTGCTCCAGGCTGGTTCTAATCACTGGGTAGAATTCCACCGACCGCAAATTCTCTCCACTGATCGCCACTACCGTATCCAGTGCTTCGCAAAACACAACCTCGCTTTCCTTCAAAGTCGGTTAACACATCTGTGGATATAATCAGCGTAGTGTGTAGACGGCCTAATATGGTAGAAAATGAAAATAAGGGGGTAGATGAAGATTCATCACCCGAATGCAGGGAGCTGTGACATCGCGTCTTCAGTCTGCTTGTGACCACGACCTGTGCAACCGGGTCGAAACGTCAAGCCTACCAAGGTATTCAAATTATAATTTTCCGCGTTAATACCCGCGTAAATATAATGTTCTTAAGATGAAACGCGAAAGTTTAAAAGTTAAATATAAACACTATTAAACATGATATAAATAAATACTAATACTAATAATATATTATAATGAGAACAATTTATAATCCAATCCTATTACAATTGTTTAGACTAGCAGAATATCGGTCCTTGTAACAGCTTGGAGTTGTCATGCTCACTGATAGGTCACACTGGCGGTGGCATGGGCGCTGGATCGCTTAATTCCCTATAATATGGTTGAGTTGAGCGATGCTGGTGTACACGTGTCATGCTCGTGAACGGGCGCCTTCAGTTGGGACTGGTCAGCTCCAGACTGTCTATTGTCCTTGTTACTTTATTTTTATATTTGAATAAATATTAGTGTTACACTGTTCTCACATAATTGAACCAGCTGTTGCTTGTAAAAGGAATCTGTATGTGAAACTGATTTAAAAAGAGTAACCATGGAGTTTCTTGCTCGTTCTTCTCCATCGGAATTTACACTTTGGAACGAGCAAATAGCTTCACTAAGAGGACTGACCGACAGACTGACACTATATCTTCAAAATTTTGTTTTACGTTCAAAAGTGCCTGTAAAGGTCTAATTGGAATAAATGATTTTTGACCTTTGAGTGGGGAAACTACCATCATCTTGCCTATATACTCACGGACCCTATACTTGAAATAAAACCGGCTGGTTGCAGCTCTGATATCCGAGGGAAGCTTGTTCCACAAGGAAATGGCTTGTATGAAGGAAGAAGAATGAGTATAGTTAGTGCGATGGGCAGGGACATGCAAAAGTCGATAGTACGAAGAGCGCAGACTTCTAGTATGGTTGTCGCACACGTACTGGAAATATGAAGATAAATAGTCAGGGGAAGGGGATAGTTGACAAGAGTAAATAAAGTTGTGAGCGCCCTTAGCTCTCTGCGCTGACGGATAGGCAACCATTTCAACAATGTTCGCTGCCCACGTGATCATATTTACGTAAGTTGGAAACGAATCGAATGCAGTTATTGAGAAGACGGTCGAGTTTATTGAGGAGATCTGCATTCAGGTCATAGTAACACACGTCACCATAATCGATGATGGGGAAGATTAAGGCTGTACAAGCATCGAATTAGTGCTAAGAGGCAGTAAGTTTCTGTGGCGATACAGAGACCGCAATGATCCTGTAACCTTTTGACTTTGGCAACTTGATTCCGCCAACTGAGGGTGCTGTCAATGTGCAAGCCCAAGTCCTTAACACTGTCACTAAACCGGACAGGTGTACCGCCGTAAGTGACTGCATGGTAGAGTATTTTCGTCAATAATGGCGATATTATGGTTACTACCTATTTATGACAAGTGCCAGGCAATTGCCTGGCACTTGTCAGGATTGACTGCGATTCCAAACCGTTTGACGTGGAAGGCTAAGGAGGCCTTATGTCCAGCAGTGGACGTTTTCGGGCTGATGATGATGATGATTGGCATTTTTATAAGATTGTAGAATTGTAGAGAATAAGTTAATCAAGGGCTCAAGGGCATTGTGAGAGCCGGGATGTAAGGCAACAACACAATTCCCGCATACTACTATTACTAACGAAATAACCCCGAAGACTTAAACGTCAATTATGAATGTCATAAGATTCAAAATGTATGGTAGCAAAATTTTTAATTGACGATCAATTAACGTGGAAACCTCAAGCTGAATATATTTGTATTTACGCTTACGTGTCATACAACCTATCTAAGAAAGTCAATGTCAAGACAGTCCTTCTCGCTTACCATGGCCTCGTGGTATCAACTTTGAGGTTTGGCATCATATTCTGGAGTAATAGTAATGAGAGAAAACTTTTCAAAGCCCAAAAATGATGCGTTAGAACAATTAGTTTAGTAATTAGATTAGTAACTTACAGGTTACAGACAGCTGTGTTCCTAATTTCAAAGTACATAAGTTACTTACCTTCCCATGTTTGTACATCGTAGAAATAGCCATTTTTGTACAAACCAACCAGCATCTGTTTCCATCGTTATGTGAGAAAGAGGATAAATTGTATGAGATCTCAGTATCAAAATTTATTGCACCCAGGTAGCTATAAAACCACACTTTTAAAGAAAAGCGTGCATGGCACCAAAGGTGTACAATAAGTTACCTAAAGTTATTAAAGGTTTCGAATTCATCATATATCATTTAGAATATTCAAAAAACGTCTAACCGAGTTATTGTTGCAAAAATGTTATTATTCTTTATCCGATTTTTTTAATGGTGATTTGTAATAGTCTAAAGGAAGGCACTGGTGGTAAGCTACATTGTTTTTATGGATGTACCCCGATGTCGTTTATCCATAAATGTTTTTATGCCGAAAGGCAGAATGTATATAAGGACTCTTGAACATTGTTAACATCTTATTGTAATACCTACATTCTAAACAAATAAAAATTTCTTATTCTTATATTATTTCTTTATATGAAAAAATATTTGTGATGACCCGAAGTCGGGTCGGTCGGTCGGAGCGTGTACTCACTCGGTGATGATGTTGTAGTGCAGCAAGCAGTCCACGAACAGCCGGTGCAGGCTGGCCTCGTACACCGCGCCCGCGCCGCCCGCCAGCTGCAGCGCGCGCGCCCTTTCCGGCAACGTCTCGAAGTTCATCCTACGATTGCAGCACTCCTGTACTACTCCTGTACTTATGCGTTTCTATTAAGCAATCTTCGTATTCAAGTGCCATGTGACACTGCAACCGCAGCCTATATTGAAGCGCAGCCAGGTTGTCATAGTCATGTACCCAAGTACTTTTTTTGAGGGGAGGAACCGTCAAAGTCCTTCTCCCGTCCCGGTGTGTCCGGTACGATTTTATTACGGCCGTTGATACGGAAACGAAAGTTGTTGACGATAATATATCGACTGAAATATCACCTGAAGTTACTCCTAGGTACGTTTAATACTTATGAATGGCACAGCTGGCTCAAACTTCGAATTAGCTCAGTTTTGTTTTAGCAGGCCGAAAGTTTGCTCCCTGGACCGGGAGTTGACCCTGTACGTTTGAGGTGTAATTGTGTCACGCTATCCTTGATTGACTGCGATAGATGTCGGACCACAATTTGAGGAACGTATCTCCAGTCAGCAGATACCTCAATGCTTTGAGAGTTGTGACGTGCACAGCAGATGACGTGGAGCACCAAGTGCAATCATCTTACTTACCTTAAAATTCTAAGTTGGGTTTTACACTGATCCAGTATTGTAGCCATGAACGCATCCATTGTAGTGTTACCGATCGCCACTAAATTGGTTGTATAGAAGGAATACAGCAGCACTGCGCTGAACCTGAAACCCAGAGCATTATTTGCAAACTAATTTTAAATTACTTAAACACAAGTTTGGGAGAGCCAACCTTCGGCACGAATGGGTCGTCTCGACCGGAGTGATACCACGGCCTCACAGAAAACCAGTGTGAGTGAGGTTACCGGAGGCCCAATCCCTTCCCTTCACCTATCCCTTCCCGATCCTTATATTCGAAATCCCTATCCCCAAAAGGTCGGCAACGCACTCGTAACTCTATTGGTGTTGCGGGTGTTCATGGGCGGCGCCGATTGCTTACCATCAGGTTATCCGTCGTACTCGTTTGCCGACTTGTACCATAAAAAAAACAAAATAAATCGAATAAAAAATGTCGCTACACAACGTGTTGCGGATTTGAATCCCGCACGGAACAACTTTTTGTGTGTGATCCACAAATTGCTGTTATTGCGTGTAGTGTACATGTGAAATTGTATATTTGTAATCGACACAGGAGAAAACCTTAGTGTTAGACAAAGTTCTTTTTAAAAAACTGTTTTTTTTTTTATGCGAGTATCAGTAATCCCACGACAGCATGCAGCCAGAGCAGTGTGTGGTTGTCTGTAATGTTTGTGCGCTACAAGAACCGCGTAATCAACTTTATTTGTTTATCAGACTCACACAACATTGTTATTGTAAGGAATGCCTGCCCAGAATGGGAACTCGAAGGCGACGCCTCGTATCCTGTAGAGCACGGGGAACACTATCCACAGCACGCAGGTGGCCACCGCGCAGCCCGAGTACACGCGCAGCAGACGCGCCGCGCGCCGCGCCGTGCCGCGCAGCAACGCCCCGCGCGGCTCCGCGCTCTGGTTCAGCAGGGGCTCTGCAACAAACGGAGGGGGAGGGGTCCCGCTCGGTCCGCGCGCCTCTTCAGCTCTGTGCCTGGCGCTCACCGTCCAGCCTCGCGATGAGCTGCTCGATCCGGTCCGCGTCCACGTGGAAGGCGACCTGCTTGGCGACGCACGTCACGTGGCACAGCAGCACAAACATCACCTGCGACAGCTTGTCCATGTCGCTCCTCTCCTGCAAGTCGCGGGACCTGACGTTCACTACACTACACTTGCCGTCCCGTTGTCGCCCACAGGTGGCCGAGAACCACAATAATGATGATATAGTCGGACGCAATTGCCAAGGATTGTCCGTAGCAGGTCGCAGCAGTAAGTGACACAAATTTACATTTGATGACTTATTAAAAAACTTCGAGATCTCGTTCAATCCTGTTCTAATGTTCTTGGTAATGTACATCATTTCAACTTTGAATTTGATTATTGTGTTATTGTAAAAGTTACAGCGATCTCTGTAACTTATATGTGTGAATTAAAAGTGATTTTATGCCTCCGGCTATGGCTCCACCCTCTGCGGTGCTCAATGCAACAAGGACGACGACGGTGAATCCATTCCGGAAGTGACCGAGGTAGATTTGCGATCGACTGAGAGGATGTCTAGTAACTGTTGTATTATAAGTTAACACGTTCGCTGCATTACGAGATCTATCAGATCTCTTGCAGAACTTTTCTATTGTGCGTTGAATAAAATCGTGTTGTTTCACTCCTTGCGGGAGGATCTAACTTGTAAAGTTCTTTATGTATGAGTAAGACACATATACATATTTGCGTTCTACTTAAAACTGAATTTAAAGACATTAAAAAATAAATTAGAGATGGATTAGATCCCTAACGCACAGTACTATAATTATTTTTATTTCTTGCATTACGAGATATGTCGATACTCGTGGAATCATAGGCCTCGTAGACGCAAGAGAGGAAGGGAGGGCGGCGCGGGCGCTCCGTGACTCGTGTTAGTGTTGTCCTAGCATCGACGTGGATAAACGGAAATAACACTCGCGTATATACGTCGTGTACGTGTTGATTACTTTTTATTAACAATGAGTGATTTTAGAAGGAAACATATGCTCATAAAGGTAGCTAAAATCTCTCCAGAAACTAAGGTAATGGTTCCAGACAACGCATATGCTAAGCATCGTCAACTAACTGCAGCACAGTTCGCATGAAGTCGAGCTTATTATGCACCATTTCAATCATTCCAGTTTACTGAATAGACGTCTTCTTGGATACAATTTAAATAACATTAATTTAGGCATTATTGCCGACTGGCAGGCACATGTTAGTACATGTGCCTGGCTTTTTTGGACTAAACGTAGTTTTTGTGTTAATGTACTTCTTCTGTTGATTGCCTGAAAATGTTTGGTTGTTGCTGTGACTGTCTTATCTTAGTCGCATTCCTGGTGGGCTTTGCTGCTTATCTCTAATGTTATAGTGTTACAATTATGTAAGCATTGCTACACGGCGGGGAACCCGGTTTCACATCTCTCTGGCAAGTTTCTGGTAACATTAGCAATAACAATTTCAGTCATTAAAACAAAAACGTTGTTATAGTAAACTAGAAGTACCTAGTATTAATATTTTTTTAAATCGACAACTGAGATATTATTTTGTTCCCATCACTACTTACTACACATATTGAACTATCTTCGGTTGCGGTATGAGATACGACCGATACCTATTTTTTTTTTGGTATTTGTAGTTTATACAAATGTCATAACTGCGTGCGAACCTAGCAAAATATAGAGCAACAGGCTATCTTTCACCCACATAAACTTTAAAATATATGTCATTGGTTTTCTGGAAGATATGAGTTATTGTCAAAACTGTATTTTTAGGAGACTGATTAGGTCTCAAACGCACTAAAGGGCAGATTAGTTTCGAGATCTTTTAGGTCTCCAAAGCACCAGCTGAAAGTTCTTTGAAAATGATGGCGCAGTGAACGTGTTAACTAACAAACAGAGCGATAAATTGAAAGGTATTGGGAAAGAAAAAGGGAGTCGGGAAAGGAACGAGAAGTGGAAAAGTAAAAGGCAAAAAGCAAGCAAGCACTAGATCAGGGTTTTCAGTAGAGGAGAGTGACTGCCTCCAAAAAAAAATACGATTACAAAAATCATCATCATCAGCCTATAAGTGCGCACTGCTGATCAAAGGCCTCTTCTCACACGGAGAAGGTTAGAGCATTATTCACCACGCTTGCTCAATGCGGTAAGATTTCAAACTTATAATTAGAAATCCAGTCCAGATTTCCTCACGATGTTTACCTTCACCGTATGACAGTGGTGTCTAAATAATCATAGAAAGTACATATAACTCGGAAAAAGTTACATTGATACTTGCCAGGTTTCGAACCCACACCCTCATGCATGAGAAGCGGGCTCCTTAACCTCCGGGCCACCACGACTTGACGATTACAAACAATGCTAATTAAATTATGAAAAATAAGTATTCAGTTATAAAGTACATTCACTACCTCCAACAATAGAAATCTTGCGAATTAGTCTTCAACTTGAGCCACAGTCATGGTTTTCCCTTAATTTCATCATTCATTATACCTCACCTCATATATCGACTGTATACTTATTAAAGTTTCAAAAACAAAATGGCTGTGGCATAGTCCGTCTGACAAACATATACAACAGACAGACAGAGACCTTTCTATTAAATTTAAATCCTAATCAGGTTATATTATAAATGGGATACTGTGTAATAGCAATGTGGGTTGATTTAATCAGTTATATTATTATAGCCACTGGCCTGATATGCGTAAATAAGTTGTTGCAAGACGTAGGTAGAAGTGGCTGCCAGTGCGAAGACGTGGTAGAAGCGAGCTGCAGCGGCCAGCAGCGGGCTGGCGGGCGCCGGCGCGGCCCAGCGGCAGAACCCGACGCGGCGCAGCCAGCGCACGTGCGGCGCCACGCTGCGTGCGCACGCCGACCTGCACGACCTGCACCAACACCACTGCTGCAGCTGCTCGCTGACCACGTGCCACCAGCAGTGCGGGAACCAGACTTACATCGTCAACTACGTAGACTAGTCGGTACCTTAGCAAGTGACACACGACTTGCTACTGACACTGGTGTGAAGTGTATGGAGTTCTTCGTTCGTTTGAGAATTTCTTACCAAATATATAACTACGAAAGAAATTTACATTTCAATTAAAAATTTATCATTCTTAGAAGTAATTGTCTGCAGGGTAACAATTATTTTGCGACTAGCAATATAACAAAGTTTAAAATTATACGATAGTTCAGTTAAAGACTTAATAGTTCCTGAAGCTGCTGACGATTTTATTAAATATTCACAGTGTTAGTATTGTTTAATACGCGGGCCGCACATCACCGCCAGTCACCTGTCACACGACCTGATTACAGACATCACGAGGGACGTCGCCAACTACACGTCGGTACTGGTTGGGTAATAACAGTAGTCACGCATACATACATATAACAAGCGCACGACAGCGAAACTAGATCAACAATGCATGTGCTCCCTACCTAGCACACTCGATGTAGGTACGCTTACATTAGGGTTGCCAACTATACTGTTAGAAACAGTATTTTACTGTTTTTCATTACATTACTTTTCTGTTGAATTCTTTACTGTTGAACAAAAATAAAATATCCAAAATCAATGATGTATAAATCTATAGATACGTTGTCCGGGCTCTAAAATGACAACATGAAATGAAGGCAATTGACAACATCGCGCTTAGTTACGCACCAACTTGCCGCGCGACGCTACGTTTGTTTTTAATTTATATCGTGTGTGTAAACCTGTGCGAAACATAAGTAAAGCATGCCGTCGTGTGTGTTCAGACGATGTACAAATTATACTCCAAAAGTTAAAGACAAAAATGTGTCATTTCATGCGCAAGTTCACCAAACAACCTATTTTTATTTTATTTTTTTCGACGCCGGCGCCCGCCATCTTATGGCGGCCATCTTATGAAAATGTAGTTTTACTATTACTTATCCTGTGATGTAACTGAAGATGTATATTTATCTCCCTCTAGCAAAGGCATTCCACTATACGATGTCATATTTTCTTTCTCTTTCTTTACTAGTAGAAGTAGTTATCTAGTATTTTCGCCGTTTTTAAGCGCCGCGATGTTGGTTCATGACGTGTCTATATATAATACGTCATTGTCCAAAATACTGTTTTTCAGCATCTACATAAAATACTGTATACTATATTGTGTGAGCAAAAAACTTGTGTGACTAAAAACCCCATCGTTCCTTCTCCTGCTCTAGGCCGAGGCTGCGGTGACTTATTGCGCTTGCCCCGCGACTCCGCCTATAGGGCCCCGTCTGTGGTAGTCTATATGCTTTTTATGGCGCACGCAGAACGCGACGTGCCGTACGTTCGGGTCTGGTTCTGATCGGATGGCGAGCTACCCTTACTCGCCGTCCGCAGACCCGCGCTAACGGTGGCCGAAGATCGTCTCTCGATTCCCGACGCCCAGAGTGTCACCTACTGCGGCGGCTGGGGCGTGAGGATAGTGCCCCACGCGCTCCGCCTCCTCATTTGCAAGCATCACTGCTTCGCATAAAGAGATGACGGATTCCCAGTTCCTATCGCTCTTTATCATCATCATCACCAAGACTGTGGGTGGACGCGAGAGGTCACCGCCGGCGATCACTTCCCTGAGGACACGGTGAGGCTCAGCCCAAGCAGGGCACTCACCTTCACCGTATGCTCCACTGTGTCGTCTGGGTGGTCCTCACAATGACGATATTTTAATGAGGATCTTGACAGAATTGTCGATTGGTCGAGTGCAAACGGTCTCATTCTCAACCCATCCAAGACCAAATACATGCTGTTTGGAACAAATGGTCAGTTGTGCAAGATTCCTGCAAACAACACTGACTTGTTGCTGAAGGGCGAAATCGTCCAGCGTGCATATGAGGCAAAAAATTTGGGTTTGGTTATGGATCAGGGACTTAGGTTCGAATCATATGTCTCAGATTGCGTCAGAAGCTGTTTTTACCGTCTGAAAGTACTGTACAAAATGCGAGCGTACCTCAGTGAGGAATTGCGTGTGCAGTTGGCGGAATCTCTGGTTCTGTCCAAATTAAATTACGCGGACACGGTCATTGGCCCTAGACTCCTATCGCGAACCAAACGATTGATACAGAGGGTTCAGAATGCTTGCGCGCGTTTTTGTTTCAAAATACCACCAAGGAGCCACATTACACCGTACCTTAATAAAAATAATTTGTTAAAAATGAAGTCACGTCGCAAGTTGCATCTGGCTTGTCTCCTCTTTGGTGTCATAAGATCCAAATGCCCGTCATACCTCTACTCGAAGCTCACTTGGGTGAATGCACATCGCCAGCGAGAGGGTAGGCGTTGTGCGCAGCAGCTGGCTATACCGCATCACAGATCCGCTGCGTTTAGGGGTAG